ATGGAAAAATAGGCACTGGAATTCAAATTGATAATTTAAACCCATCAAATGGATAATCACAAGGAACCCACACACTTATAAGGCCAACTATTATCCATATATGTAGCCCAAAAGCTATCCAAATTCTATTTCAAGGCTAACCATAGTCCATCCACTAACAACTTCCTCCATGTGGCAAAACTTGGTTGCATTTGAGCTTATCCCATGGTGTTTCATGCAACTTATCAACGCCTTTTACCTGGTTGCCCTTTCACCTGCTCACAATATGGCAAAATGGCAGTCAAGCAACTTCTATCATGGACACGGAGCACCATCAGGCTTGTACTAATAAAGAAGACAACAAGCTTAATGATACGTGGACAACTTTTTATACAGTAGTCACTCTTTGTGGGTTCTGATAAGAGGAACTTGAGCTAGGGAACACCTCCATTGATAGTGCATCACGATACCATTGAAAAAGTGAGTAAAAATATGAATGCAAATTTTATGAGTTAGTAGACATGTGAGTTGATGTAAAAAGAAAAAGTGAGAAAAAGAATGAGTTAAATCTTTTTGTTACCCACTATTCTGCCAATTAAGCTTTTGGTAAAAACAAAAAGTTGGAGGAAAAACTATGATCATAGTCCAAAGTTTAGTGCTCATCGAAAGGAATGGGATTCAAACCCAATATTGTAAAATTTATTATGAGAATACCCAATTTGAATTATGAGAATTGAGTTTCGAATGGAAAAAACAAATCATAAAGAAATTGTTGTTGAAAGATATATCAATATTTAATAGAAAAAATTTCCAATCATATTCCTAAGGTGGTGATGCATCTATTTTATAATGAATTAAGAATTGAATTATATATTTTTAATGAAATTTGTAGTTTAATGAGTGGAGTGACTTAGTTATGGGAGCACTATTGACAAATTTTATCTATGTGAGTGTCGAGCTAAGGCTACTTCTATGAAAATTGATGGACAATTTTCTAAATCATCTATGAAAACTAGGATCATGCACAAGGCCACAAGGTGCTAAATGTATGAAAAACTTAACATTTAGATCATTATGTGTTTGATATGATTCTTGTATTTTCTAAAAAGGTCATAGTTCAAGATTTAATTCACTATTGATTTTAAATTAAGCATTGTTGACTTACTAAATAATAGTTCAAGACTTAACTATCTTTATTATGCATAATAATCCATCTTTACTCAAAAGAAAAGTTCATTTTTTTATTAAAATAGTAAGGGATTGTTAGAATTTAAATATTTTAATAAAAAATAAAATAATATATTTTCAAAAAAATACATATCAAGTCCCGACTCTTAAAAATAATTGAAATCCCAACCTTTTCCTCTCTATAGATTGAGAAATATGAATGTATGAAATGGAGATATATCACTTTCTTAGTTTCTTATACATATATATAATTAAAACATGTTAAAATAAGTTTCAGAGACTACCATATAATTTACACTACTTACTAGGGATTTCATCCCTATGGTCACTTTCAGAAGTCAAATGCCCCAATTGCTCTGTTAGAAGTTCCAAGTTCTCGGATGTCTCCAACTGTGATCCATTTACTATCGGTTCAATCTCTAAGTTATGAGAATTTCCCATATTTTGCAGTAGAAGTTCAAAATTATGAGGTTTGTCCAAATACATTCCGGACTCTGTTGCTTCAACTTCCATACCCGAGTCTGTGGGGCATTCTTTATCTTTCTTTCCATCTTCCCCGTTCTCTAGAAAAGGGTTAGCTAGAAGAAGCTTTTCCCAAGCACCATCGTCATGTAAATCTGGTGGAGCAAAAGGTATGTGACTATCATCCACAAGAACTTTCACAAAATCAATGTTCATCCAAAAATCTTTCATCCCTCCAGAAGATGCATCAAATTCAGGAGGAATCTCCGAGTCTATCACTGGTTTGAGTACTGGCTTTGGTGCTTCCTCCACAGGTGGCTGGTATCTTACTATCATACCATCAGAAGCTACTGATTCACTATCCTCTGCAGTGCTACCTAGCATATTGCCTGCTTCAGTCATATGCCGGTTATTTTCCTTAGGCTTAAGCAGCTGAACCAAAAAGCCTGGGCTTTGCATTGCCATGATTAAGAATGAGAGCATCTGTTGCTGATTCTTTTCCATTCCTTGAAGACGATCCTTCAGGCGAAGCAACTTACTATCAGCAGTCTCCTGGTTCTGCCTAAGTTTGACTAGCTCCTGCATGAGAGCATTCTTATCAGTCTTCAAATTCTCAACTTCCTTCCACAGCCCGACATTTTCAATGTTCTCACATGGTTCAACAGAGTTGTCCTGAGGCTGCGATGCTTTACGCTGGTCAGAGCCCTGAGGATGTTTCCTTCTGGAGATATTCTTCAATAAATCCTTTTGACCTCTAATAAATCCTTCATTTGCAAATTCCCAACGATCTGCATCTATCTTTCTAAAACCCTGGAAAAAGAAATTATGAGTTACTAATTGCTTACTTATGACTGATATTTCAATTAGAATACTTATTCAAGCTGCAGGCCCCACATAACCTGGCTCAGTGTTTTTTATTACATAACCTCCTCTAATAAACAAGCATATCTGAATCAGTAAGACACTAGTCCATTTAATTAAATTTGGCAAGCAAAACTTAAATTTAAAGGTCTGTGGAAAATTGGTTAAGTTTGCTTTCAATTTTCAATGCTCAAAGCTGAACATAAGCTCAGATGAAGAATAAACGCATGCTCAAAATCATCTGAAACAATCAACTACTGTATTAATGATCAGCATAAAACACAAAACTTGAGCATACATTTCTGAGTAATAGAATCACTTAACAGACCAAAACAACAGTATTTTTAAATTAATTATTAAACAATGCTCAAATGGAAGTCTGCTGGGTTACTAAGTTATAGCTTAAAATGAAAATTCTACACATTAGCTATAACAAAAGATTTCTCATTTTTTAATGTTCCATCCTAATTCTCTCAGAAACTCAATCTCCTTAACCACTCTCAGAGAACGAAGATTGAAAGGATAATTTATCTGAATGAAGAATAAACTAATCACACATTTTCTGCACACTGATACAAATAAATGAGAGAAAAGAAAGAAAAAACTCGACTCTACCATAACTTCATTTTATCAACTCTAATACTTAAGATTCGCCTCCCCCCTCTCCAACACACAATAATGTAGCAAAGTTTTATCAACTCTACAGAGACAGGTAGAGCCAGCCGGCTAAAGACATCTACACCAGCTCTTCACACAAATTTTGAATTAAAGCTTTTTGAAGGACAGTAACTGTGCAGGAAAAGAACTATCCATAATTCTACATCCCAGGAGCAGTAACCAAGCAGCGAATGTACAAGAAAAACAAACACTTGGTAGAGAACCAAAGAGGAAAACTCTCAAAAACAAAAACCCAATTTCAAATCGAACAACAATAAAAAAAAATCCCAATTGATTTAAGTCGCAAAATCTTAGCATTAACAGATGAAACAATAGCAACAAAGAGTTATTAGGGTTAAAGGAACAATTACCAAAAAGCATATTAAAAACCCAAATCCAAAAATCCAAAATCCTAAACAAAAATTAGAAGAACAAAAGGCTACCCAATTGAGCAATCAAAGAGGAGAAGAAGGAAGGGGGGGTTACTACTCACATAGATATTGAGTTGCCTAACGAAGCTAGAGAAATTGCTGTGCTTGAAGTACTTAGGCAGCAAGTGAACACAGAACTGAGTCCGGTCCCAAACAACAAAACTATCATTGTTCTGACCCCATGAAATTATGGAATCCGTGGAGTCATCGTCGACCATGTCATAGCATTTCTTCAGAAAAGGCGCAACTGACACAGACCCATTGTCGGCCGATTTCACCATAACTGGGTATGATTCTGCTGAAGATCAGAGAAAATCGAGAGAAAGGAAAGTGCGGAAATTGGGAAATCGGAAGTGGGCAGTAGTGGTACTGAAGCTGGTTCAAGTTAGGAATATTAGGAAGAAAGGAAGGAAGCGCTATGTATGTATGTATGTTCCCGGCAAAGATATTTAGGCGTTTCTCTTCCAGTGATTTTCGGTCCGGTTTGTGCAGTAAAGACTAGAAGATATTTTTTTTAATAAAAATTTATTTACGGTACAAAATTTATATATTATATTTATATAAAATTTTAAT